GTTTGAAATATATAAGCTGCACTTGGAGAGAGGACACTACCCTAAAATTTCAGCCTTCTAGCTTTACTGGTTGCCGAGTTAGCAATTCTTCCGACAAAACTCTCACGTGCCGTGCATGGGAACCATTCATAATTAGGGGCTGAATTTGAAATCTTTAGCTCATAAATGCATAGAAAATACCTCAGCAAAGTTTCAGTTCTCTACCTTGTCTGGTTTCCGAGACCACTTTCCTGCCATAAAAGTTGAATATTTTTTGTGAAGTCCGTACGCGGTACCCAGGAATGCGCTAGTAATTATATTAAAAAGGGAGGGTCGCATATGATGTAGGCACATACTCCCGAAGTTTAAGCTTTCTAGCTTTTCTGGTTCTCAAGTTGAAAGCGAGCGACAAAAAGTGCGAACACACAGACACACACACGCACACACAGACACAGCCTCTTACCAATATGCGTTTTTGCATTTGCATATATGCAAAAGCGCATGAAAATCATTAATACTGCTTAGTTAGAGCCGGGATTCAATTCTAGGATGCGCACTGCCAGTCAGCATGCTCATGGAAGCTGCAAAACCATGTATCTATTTTCATTCGCAAATATGTATTACTTTTCATTTAATCAATTTTTAGGCCCATGCTAGAATTTTGGATTCGAGAGATCGAGGTCATATGTTTTTTTCGCAACCCGACGAAATACCTACGTGTTCCATTGTGGTCACACATGAAAATGCAACAGTACGATTAAAAGCAAGATGTATAGGTCGTTTTGAAAGGTGGAACAACGTCATGGAAATCCCAATGCGCACCATTACGGAAGAAGCTGAAAATGTTTGGGCCGAACCATCAGCCGAAATTATCGAACTTATCGAGCAATTCAAGAACGAAACAGTGCTTCATGAAGAAGAAATTTGGCCAATTCAAAGTGAATATATTTTGAAACTTGCGGCAATTTACAGCAAAATGCATCCTGAATCTACATATCCTCATGTTCACACTTACAGTAATTTGCTCAACTTTTATTTTGAAGTGCACGTATAGCAAACGGCGCAGTTCTGTTGCTTTTCCGCAATGTAGTGAAAGTTTCTTCTGTCCTGTGTGTAAAATGATAGATTAAAAACCATAGCATAGAATGGTAGAATACTTAGCGGGTAAATTGGTTTGTTTGTATTCTTTGAAATCTGTTAGCTGGAATCTATTATCTATTCGTCTATCTGCATTGCCTTTCTGCGAAAATTGTGCAATGTTCCAAAAATTACCATTGTTGCTATTATTACTATTATTATCATAGTAATCATTGTTAGTGCTATTATTACCGCTGTTATCATTAGTGTTTTTTATAAAATGTTTCGTTGACCTTATTGTGAAATGATTGGGATTTCGATAAAGTTGTTAATGAACAACTAATAGGCTAGATGTTATTCACGACTTTTTTATAAGATCATACGGAACAGTGTGGATATTTTCTTAAAGAATCCCATTTTGCTCTAATCTAAGCATATTGCCGCTCATGTTTGCAAATTAATAGTAAGCTGCTGCACATAGATATCTGATCATCAAATCTATTCATCAAAACTGCTTTAAACTCAGTAATTTCTCTAAAATGTAAAAAAAAAACCATTGGCGACGAGCATCAGGCGGGCCATACGCTTTTGCACTATTTCGTGCTGTAGCAAGATAACAAGGAATCCCAGTCGCTGGAATTTATGACATACCAATCCTCGAAATTGAGAACGTTGATTCTGCTACTGCGTGCTGTTTGGACAGGAAACATCCTCCTAAAATTTTAATTTTTCAGCCCTCCTGATTTCCGAATTAACAATTTCCCTGCTAAAAACTTTAACAGGCCTCTATGTGATGACTATGCACACCAGGGCTGAATTCGAAATCTTTAAGTTCTTTTGATGAGGGACATCCTTTCAAAATTTCAGCTTTCTAGCTTTTTCGGGTCCCGAGTTTGCATGTTTCTCGACAAAACTTTCACGTGTTCATACGAGGGGCCTAGACATGCGTAAAGGTTGGTACTGCGATCGTGAGATGACACTTAGTCAGTTGACACACTGGCGAAATTTTAACGCCGTAGTGTGCTTGGTTGCCGAATTGAAATACCCGGACAGACGAACACAGACGCGCACTGTGGGTAGTCACAGTATGCGTTTATGCATTTGGGTATATCCAACCCAGATTGAAATGCATCTGGTTTGCCAGTACAACCATATGTTTTTATGCGTTTTTGCCTATATGCAAATTGCAAAAACGCATATTGCAATGACTCTGTCTCTGTGTATTTGTTTGCGTGTGTGTATTCGTCTGTCCGGGTATTTCAGCTCGGCAACCAAGCAAGTTCCAGCGCCAAGGCTTTGCTAGTGGGTTCCCCAGCCAAGTGCCACCCCAGAACTGTGGTACCAACCTCCCGCGTACAAAAAAGTGGAAGTTTTGGTCAGAAAATTGGTAACTCGTGGATGGGAAAAGCTAGAAAAATGAAATTTTGAGGGTATGTCCCCCGCCTACACAGAATTCAAAAATTTTAAATTCAGCCCCCAGGTGTGCGTGGTTCCCACGTATGGCTCCGTGAGAGTCCTGGCGCGAAAATAGCTAGCTCAGGAGCCAGAAAATTTGGAGAGCTGAAATTTTCCGAGAATATTCTCAACACAAGTACAACTCTCAGCCCTTCAGTGTGTCTGGTACTAACGTACGGCCTCGTAAAAATTTTTGGCGGGACATTGGCTAACTAGGAAAGCCAGGAGGCTGAAACTTTCAGAGGATGTTCCCAGCACATGTGCGACTCGAATTTATCAATCTCAGCCCCCGGGCTTGCGTGGCTGTCACGTACGGCCCCGTGAAAATTTTTGGCAGGGGAATTGCCTACTCAAGAACTACAAAATTTGAAAATCTGAAATTTCAACAAAATGTTCCCTGTCCAAATACCGCGTAGACAATTAATTTCCCGGGCTTCGAGAATCAGTATATCACACATTTCTAGCTACTGGGTTTCCGAGCGATCTCTTTGCAGCACGAAATATTGCAAAAACGCATGATCGCACGTGCCCACCCAGTGCGGACTGCCAATGATTTTGGGGGATGACTGATCCTGGTCACTGGTCCATGGCCGCCCAGCATTCTTGTCGATCCGTATATAAGTTTTTTCTCCAAGATTCGATAATCCCGGTCCGACTACAGCAGAACGCGAAACCGAACTTTGATCTGAACATTTACACCGCTTATTATTTGTTGTTCCGAAGTGCAGCTACTGATAAATCTTACGGTAACGCCAAATAAGCAGTAAGAGCAAGAAATTTCGTTCAATATTTTGAACAAATATAAAATTGATATCTCTAAAAGTATTGAAGAAAAATGTCCCAAACTGGTAACTACCACGTAGAAGCTCCAGTTCGGTTCCGGCTTCCAGCATTCTCAGGACATCGCCCGCTCCACATCATGCCAAGCCTGCTCACAGCCGCTTCCCTCTCGATGCAACCGCACCGCCTGGACTTTGATCAGTGATAATGCAATTTTTTATCATTTCCATTGTGTTCGCAGCGTCATCCAAATTAACACAGCGGAAAGGAGAGACAAAGACATAGGGAAGAAACGCGAAACAATCAAACATTCTGAAGAGGTTCCTCAGTTCAGTTCCCTCCTTCGTCTCGGATTAAAAATTCATTAAAAAATAAAAACCATAGAAAACGAAACCAAAAAAAAAATCGCTAAAAAGTCCGAGGTAACCAAAAGCGGAAAAAATAGAAACTCAAAGCAAGATCATAAATCAACTTCTTCCATGGAGAAATTAAGATCAAAAATAAAGAGAACCAAAAAACAACAATAAAAGCCGTTATGAAACTGAAATGGCTGTAACGGTCGTCCAGGTTACTGTCAAGAGGTGATGAACCGCACCAACTGTGTTGTGGGAATGATCAAAAGAATAGTTAACTTTAATCCTTTCGCACAGCGACATAGGTGCACATGAAAATCAACACTAAATTATGCTAACAAGGATGTTACACAGTCTTTTTTTTACAGAATTTTTTTTTTTTTTTAATTTCCTCTGCCTGAATTTTGCCTGAAACAAATTGGATGCGCGCATAAAATTATTAACAAAAATGCAAGAGTTGAAATCCAAAAATGATGTAAGCAAAGAGTGAAATGCAGTGGTCACTCGAATTCCACAAAAAAGTGGTGAATCTCCGAGTATCATCAAACAACATCCCTCTTGCATGAAGGTAGCACATCAACTGTGAACTGTCGCTGTAAAATCCACCATTTTGCTTGTTTTTTTCACGAAAAGAAAAGCCATCCAGACTGATTTCTAAACCTCCCGGGCCAAATTTCACGCCGTTTTGGCAATATTTCTGGCTATCTGACCAAATTTTGCTCTCTAGCCGAAAGCGTGTCCACTCGTTGAGACTTTGCTGCCTTTCGAATCCATTTTTTATTTCTTCTCCCCCCCC